TGAATTCACGCCCACAAGTCAACTGCTAAAAGGATACGCACCCAGATCAGCAATATCGCTTGCCAGCCTGCCCATACCGCATCCAGGTACAAGAACCTTCTTGCCCTTGGCATTCTTGCCAAAGTGTTTCCCCAGGCCAGCAATGACGGGCGGGAAAGTAGCTTCCCTCTCCTTGGCGCCAAACGTGCTCCAGTCTCGTGAAAGATGTCCAAAGGTCAGGTCCACAAGACCAAACTCGGCATCATCTTCGTCTGTCAACGGTCCTGGACCGGTTTGGTAATGCTTTCTTGAAATCTGCGCAATCTGCTTCGAGAGACGAGCGTTTATGTTAATCCCTTCCGTAGCCTTCTCAAAGTGCGCAGAATACCCGAGCTTGTCGCTCATTAGCTTCTGGGAGGGCGTCTGGCGGTCGTACCGCGCATACTTCCGCTGCAACACTCCCTGGGCGAGAGACGCATACTGCTCGAAGGAGTTGATGGCGTGTGCCAAATCTTCGGGAAGGTTTTTTCCTCCTTCAGTTGCGCGTACAACCTTGGCAGGCCTCGTGGAAGTCCCGACGGGTGCTTTGGAAATGGATGGTGGAGGGGTGTCTAGAGGGGCGTTGAGCGCAACGTGAAGGGCTTCAGCGCGTAAGGAGAGCTTGGAAAAGAAAATGGCAACATCAGACAATGAGCCAGACCCGCGAAGGGCGAGGTAGAAGGGAAAGATGATGCAGAGGAAGAGAGCAAGGGAGCGGGAAGGGAAAATTGACGAGTACATCATTGTGATTGCGGCTAGGTATGAATTTGCGCCAGAAGAGGTTATTCTTGTTGCCAAATGCAGCTCTGATAAAAGCAGAATGAGCTTGAGAAGTGGATGAACGGCGTGATAAGTGGGAAAGTCCTTCCCCTTGAACCTCCTCGGCAGCTGCGATTCTCCCTCAGGGCCAGATACTTTGCATCCAGTCTCGAATATCAGAAGTCGCCGCAGGTATCAGAGCGCAACGGCTGCGCCCGCCGTCCGGCCCCAAGCGATGGGGTCTACCGTCTGAGCATTGTCTGAATCGAAAAGTGTGGATTACCACGATTCACGGTCCCTCGGATAGTAACGGGGATCATCTCTGTTGAGGTTTAGAGTTCTGCAAGGGGGGCTTGTGTCCCACTCTGTAGTGACTTGGAGTAAACCTTCGGCTAGTGAGACAAGAAGCATCCCTCCCTCTAGTACAATCAGCCTTACCGCGAGCTGCTGGCGAGTCAAAGACCATGGAAAGTTGCCAGGTATGGAAACTATCTCGGATGACAGGCCACGTCAGACTCTCTACCGAGCCGAATTTCTGGCATCGTAGCCAACACAACTTGCATTGGAACGAAGAGACGTTTACGATTGAAATAATGACGCTCCGTGATGATACCAGTGCATTCAACGTGATAATAATTGAACTCGTGGACTATTTTGTCCTGCCACAGCGTAAGCATTGGTACTACCAATCGAGGTAAAACTTGGTGTCGGCCAGCGGAATGGCAATACAAGTCTATAGGATACTCTCTCATTGGCCGAAACAGCGCTTAAGTGGAACATAATCCAAACGACACAGTCAAACTGCTTATTTAACCCTGTAACTGCCATCCATTCTGTGTGACTGCGTCTATCGTGCTGTTTCTCTAAGAATCTAAACCCACATTCTTGTTAGAGCCATGGGCCGAACAATTCTGTTTCTCTTTGCACTTGCCATTTTCTCAGTGCTCCCCAGCCACGGACAGGCAACAAAGTGCGGCAAGCTCTTCGAACGCAAAGAATGGCGAACATTGACCCAGGACGAGAAATCTGGCTGGGTGGGAGCTGTGAAATGCCTCGGAAGCATACGGCACCAACGATTGTCATTCACGCCGAAACAAATAGTTCTCGAGGGAATGAGAAGTCTATACGATGACTTCTCGTACTCACACGCAGCAGTAGAGCACAGCGCACATAGGAATGTCTACTTTTTGCCGTGGCGTATGTTCCGTCCCCTCTCAACCATTGTTCAACACTTCTATATTGACACCTGCGCAGACCGCTGGTTCCTCTATTTGTTCGACGCGTCTCTCCGCCAAAACTGCGGGTACGGCGGTCCAACGCCATACTGGGACTGGTCGCGCGATCATGCGGACCTGGTCGGCTCTTCCGTGTTTGAAGATTCACCCGAGTTTGGACTAGGCGGGACTGGAGACTGTAGTTCTTCACCCGAGGCTGATTGCAAGGTCACTACAGGCGCTTTTGCCCAGTTCGAGCTTGCCTGGCCGATCCCTCACTCACTGCGTAGGAACTTGACGCTCATCACTGGGTGGTTCGATCATGAGAAGCCCCAGAACTCCACACTGGGCCCAGACTCTGTGCGGAACTCGACTGAACATCACACGGGCGACTTTTACAGTTTCCAGCATTCAATGGAGCAGATGCATAATCATGTCCATAACTTCGTTGGCGGTGACTTGGCGGGGGACTGCCCAAAGAAACTACCAGCGGAAGGTTGCAAGGACCTAGCCGTCGCCTTTACGCCTAACGACCCTCTATTTTGGTTGCATCATGCGCAGCTTGACCGTTTATGGAGCAAGGTGTGCACCCCTTCCAAACCTTGCTTGATTCAACTGTCATATCAAATATACTAACGTGGGTTGATGACTTTCACAGTGGCAACGCCGACACCCCGCCAATTTTGCCGCTTTTTCCGGCATACCCTTTCACTCGTTCAATATGAGCGACCCGCAATATGATGTTAAAGCTAGCGCAGATTACAAAATGCCATTTGATGTACAGAGTGTGCCCGTGACGCCAAGGCAGGTTTTTGACACGGAGGCTGGGCCGCTATGCTATCAGTATGTAGATGATGAGTGACAGTCTTCGGGCTAGAATGATAAACAACGCATCTTGGCATCCTGGGGATCTTAGTCCCCATCAGTGACACCCTGGTCCCATTTCCTATGCCTCCCCGTCAGAGTTCAGCTCTGCTTAAGTCTGTGCGCGCCCATTTACACGAAGCGATCACACGAAGCGCATACAGAAGCAGAAGATGTAGACCAGACGAGTTACTGAAGCGAAGATGTAAAAAGTTAAGAATTTCTATTGCTATGCATGGATTTCTCATTTCAAACAAAATATCTATAGGCTAGACTCATTGATCCTCTCAAACATCTCAGGCGTCCATTTCGAATGTTGCTCCGCCATCCAATCGTGCACCTGTCTCCAGTCCCGGCAAGTGTGTTTAGCTCCATCGCCTGCAGCAACTTTGTCACCATTGGGCAATTTCTTGTTTGTGCCACCAGGTTCGATCGTCGTGTCAGCAGCGCAGAGAATGCCCTGCCGCAAGTAGTGGAAGCAATGCTCCGTGTGGTCAGACCCGTCGTCTCCGTTAACGAGCACGGCACGAATGTGGCTCAAGCAGTGCATCTGATGCCACATCGACACGCCAAACGCAAAGTGCTCTTGGCCTAGAAAGACGAAACCCTTTCCAGGGGGACGGATTGCGTTCCATTCAACCGTAGAAGCAAAGCCTTCCATCCCGTAGTGCTCAGGATCATCTACGAATTCGGCCTGAATGGTGCGGACCTTGATAGGAAGCTCATGTGGTCGGTCACCTTCGAGGTAGGCTATAATGTGTTAGTCACAAAGATAAGAAAGAAACTAACGAAAAACGAGAATTCGACGTACTGTATGACTGTGAACCACGGGTCAAGACGCGGAAGGAGAAGAAGAGAGCGCCCAGGTTCAAGACGAGGCATACGCAGAGGGCTGCGAAAAGGCCGAGTGAGGGCCCTCGTAATTGAGACTTCAAAGACTTCAAAGACATGATGGCGTGCTGGCAGGGTAGTGCGTTGAGGTTGTCAAAGAAAGAACACAATCGCTTGGATCAGCAGCGCCGAGAGTGGGCGAGCAGTGTTTAACAGATCTGTGGCCGTATCCGCCCTCGCCCTCGCCCTCGCTTGAGTAGATGAGTCGCGATGATAACATGGGGCGGTGCAAGAGGATTCGCAACTTCGCAAGTGTCAAAAAGATCTACTGATGAGAGTCAGTTGTCCAAGGGTTGCATCGACCATGTGGAGAGCCCCAAGTATGCTGACAGGGACCGCATCACAACCTCTGGTCCCACAAAAGCTGCTCGACATACGACGACGGTAAGTTTCATCGTCTAGATGAACGTCTAGATGAACTTCGGAATGTCCGTTGCTATGTTGACAACGAAAAGCACCGCAGGACTGTTTGAGGTTCCACAAGATCTGCTCGCTGGACTTGCGACGAAAGAAAGTTTTTGCATCTAGATGAACCTCGGGAATCCGGATCCCAGTAGCGGAAGGAAGGGACCGCAGGTATGGAACAGGTTGCGTGCTCCACACGAAATGATGTGACTGCTCGATATGCGACGAAAGTAAAGTTTCGATAGCCAGATGAATCATGGGCGCCCGCAGGTCAATTTATTTGCCTGCCATAGGCCTTGGGGCTTGACCGATTGAGCTGACGGAGGCTTGGATGAGGCTTGCCCGGCGGAACGGACATCAGGACATCATGACTCCTTCCGACGGCGTATCATGCCGGCGTGCCATCTACACGCCCCCGGACCTGCTGTTGGAGATCTCCACCAGCCTCGTATACCGAACTCGATAGCTAGTCACGATCTTTGTCTGGAACCTCACCGTGGAATCCACTTGGGAAACTTTACGAGGCGTGTTAGAGACTCGGCACGAATGTCTGAAGACCCACGACTTAAGAATTATTGCGAAGGCAACGCCGGCGCAATAACGCACATGCACGCTTCTGATCGTGGGGATTCGTAGTCGTACGGAGAGATTGTCGAACGGATATCCCTCCCATGAGCTTCATCACTTGACACTCGAAATCCATAAATACCCAAGAGAATATCGACCATGGAAAGAAAAAGCATCCACAACAACATCTTACTCCACAACAATCATCTTACCATCATTTCAACATCTTCTTCAACTCACTTTTTCTTTGTAAACCACCAAGTTTTCAACCAATCATTCAAAATGCAGATCACCAGTGTTATGCTCAGCCTTGCCAGTCTCGGCCTGAACGTTCTTCCTGTTCAGGCCGGGCCTATTCCTGGCGCTGAAGCTGCTCTGGCGGCGCGCCACGTCTATTCTCCCGATGTTGACGAAGCTCCTGTTGAGAAGCGCCATGTCTACTCTCCTGATGTCGATGAGGCCCCTGTCGCTAAGCGCCACGTCTACAGTGTCGACAAGGACGAGACCGTCGAGAAGCGTCACGTCTACTCGCCTGATGTCGATGAGACCCTCAACAAGCGTCACGTCTACTCGCCCGATGTCGATGAGACCCTCAACAAGCGTCACGTCTACTCGCCTGATGTCGATGAGACCCTCAACAAGCGTCACGTCTACTCGCCCGATGTCGATGAGACCCTCAACAAGCGTCACGTCTACTCGCCTGATGTAGACGAAGCCCCCGTTGCCAAGCGTCATGTCTACTCCGTCGACAAGGACGAGGTCGAGAAGCGCCACGTCTACTCCCCGGACGTTGACGAGACTCTCAACAAGCGTCACGTCTACTCTGTCGACAAGGACGAGGTCGAGAAGCGCCACGTCTACTCCCCGGACGTTGACGAGACTCTCAACAAGCGTCACGTCTACTCTGTCGACAAGGACGAGGTTGAAAAGCGTCACGTCTACTCGCCTGATGTCGACGAGACTCTTAACAAGCGCCATGTCTACTCCGTCGATAAGGATGAGGTTGAGAAGCGCCACGTCTACTCTCCTGATGTTGACGAGACTCTAAACAAGCGTCATGTGTACTCTGTTGACAAGGATGAGGTCGAGAAGCGCCACGTCTACTCCCCCGATGTTGACGAGGCCCCCGTTGCTAAGCGCCACGTCTACTCCGTCGATAAGGATGAGGTTGAGAAGCGCCACGTCTACTCCCCGGACGTTGACGAGACTCTCAACAAGCGTCACGTCTACTCCGTCGACAAGGACGAGGTCGAGAAGCGTCACGTCTACTCTCCTGATGTCGATGAGGCCCCCGTTGCTAAGCGCCACGTCTACTCTGTTGACAAGGACGAGGTTGAGAAGCGTCACGTCTACTCCGTCGACAAGGATGAGACTTCCGCCTAAGTTCAAAAGCGGTAGGAGCGAGTCAGAAAAAGTCACTGCAGGAGCGGGTTTGCGGCAAAATCGTTTTGGGCGGTATGAATTCTATGGCTTGCTAGCGAGAAGGGGAGATGTAGTGGGGTGTCTCAGCACTTTTGCGAACTTCCAGTGATCAAATGCGTAGCTAGGTTTGTTTAGTTAAAGGTGTCCTTCTTAGAATCACAATAGAATTTCCTTCTTCAACATCAGTGTTCTGTTTTGGCAAGCGTCCCTAAATTAAGCGTATCCCCATATGAGCTCTGCAAGCCATGCAATAAACTTCGTTGCTTATCATTTTAAGTCTACCCTCTTAGCGCTGGTCACACAAGCAAGTATACCAAAACTCAGAAAGAGTAAATCAAGGTGTCTGAGCGCATGGGGGTGAGTAATCGTTTCCGCACGCACGTTTGTTTTGTCCGCCAGTCGGGTCTCCGCCAGATAGCCTTGCCCCTGCCCCTTGAAGACTTGATAGTCGTACAGTATTTTAAGGTTTATTATCTTCGTCTGTGGAGAGCCTGCATAGCGCCATAGAGTCTTCGCGACCAAGGCTCGATCGGCCGCTCTCCTCCCGACGCTATTTACGAGTACGAGGAAACTGCTCGCTTTATCGGTGCCCTTGCTCTGATGCTGCTTTGATACCCTTGCCAAGACATTGAACGCTGTGGTCATACTGGGAGAACTATGTTCCTCATGGCGCATCTCGAATGTGGCCTCTTTTGTCTTTTTTTTCTTTTTTTTCTTAATTCCTCATGGTAAATCTGTTCGGTTTATGCAAAAAAATCAGACGGTGAACTTTACTCCACACTATACGCTGTACTTGTAAACAAGGATTAAATGGCAGATTTCTAATAGAGAATTGGTGCAAAAACATCCAGCTTAACACCGAGTCATGTTCCTTCCGATGCTGTGGCGTGCCTGAGCATTGATATGATGTATTCTGAGCTAAGATAGGGATGTGAAATTGCAATTTTGACTCAAGAATTTTGAGGAATGAATGCTTCTCAAGCTCTATCTACAGGTATTCGTCCGGCATCGGGATGAGCGTCTCGTTCCCAGCCGCACACATGGCCGGGTGCTCTTCGGGGAGAGCCTCTGTATCGGCCATTTTCACATCAGTGCACTATCAATTCATGTTACATTAGTCAATCTCACTTTATTAAGCTCTCAGCTGGGGTAACTCACAAAGTATTGCACCTTGCCCGTCGCCGGGTCCTTGGCCTCAAAATACATGACCCCCATCTCGTTAAGCTTGGTCTCGAAAGGTATCGTAACATTGACGCACACCTGCCCAGAGGGCTGGATGGGTAAGTCTTGCAGAATGATATGAGGGAAGTCGTCCCTCTTTTTCGGCACTCTGTTCCGAGTGTAGAGAGCTGTGACAAGGTCTCCAGGATGGCCTGAGAAAGAAAGGAACGTGCGAGAGCTGCGGGCGTAGGCTTGGGGGTTGTGCACGATCTCCCCTTTGGCTGTGTGTTAGATCATGCCAATACTGGGGAGTCTGATGAATTGGAGACTGGAAGGAGAAACTTACGGCAAAACGGGTGGAACTCATCTAATTCTGGCCGAGACGGAAGGTTGGCACCACGAGACGACCATGGGTACTGGACGTGGAAACCCGCATGGGCGGGGGCGGCGGCGGATGCGAGGTTGATACCGGTGCCGAGAGCAAGCAGAAAAGTAAGGACGGTAGGAACGTTAGGCATGGTGGATGAGATTTCAAGTGCTGGGTCAGCATAGGTTCCACGTTGTACGCGGCCATCTGCGGCAGAGAGAGACAGCAAGATGATATAGCTCGTGCCAAGACACCTGACAGTCTACCTCTCAACTGACTTGAGACTGTCGAAAGTCACCGACACGGTCACCCCGGAATGTCAGATAAATTACTCTTGCCGTACTGATCGAGTCAAGTTCTGGTGAAGGTTTGAAACTACAGACGCATTGCAGTCCCACTGCATCATCATCTTTACGTGCTCCTCAATGGCCAGACTGCGCCACACGGTAGTTCCGCGTGTTGAAGCTTTATTCGAACTCATCACCTGTCTCTGTCTGGCTATCTCTGGCCTACTGTGAATCACTCCTGATCTTCTTCTTCATCCACAACTTCCAGTTCTCTCGTCCTTTTCCTCATCGTTCGTCGTCTTACTATCATTTGCCCCCTAGAACGACCTCCCACGATGTTTTCTGAATCAAAGTCGGACACTTCTCAGTACACGCCGCTCTCCCGACCAGGCGGTGGCGAGGGTTCTAGCTCTAGCACATCTCTTGAGAAGCGCTCATCTTCCGAGGATGATGACGACCACCCCCTGTTGGAAGCCTCTGAGAATCTTCCAGGTCTCCAGGCAGCCAAACACTGGCAGCTTCCCAAGCTCATCCTGTACTTTTCCTTGGCTTTAGCCTTGCTATCATGCGCCAACATCGCTCTGCTTCCTGCGACGCTGTCGAACTACGCAGCTTACCCTTATACAGACTCTGAACTCAATGCCCTTCCCTACGGTGACGCCAGACTAGGACTTGACAGAGCAGCCAAGATTCTTCGCCCTCCCAGAGAGTATCTTCGCGCCTGGCCGGACAGAGTGGTGCGAGTGAGCCGCAAGTTGAAGAATTCAGTGTGGGGAAATGGGCCGCAGGTCTATGTGACTGTCGAGGTACGCGCAATTTCATATCATCTCATTCTCACTATCTGCGGTTCAAACAAGAATTCTGATGTGAAAAAAAAGGACTCAACTATCATGCGCTTCCCGGTTCCTACCGCTGGTATCAACGCTTGCGCAATCAACTGGCTCGCGCCTCCGGAAAATTCCACGCGCATCAAGGACCTGACTACCAAGGGAGACGTTTCCGAAATTGAAGTCTGGCAGCTTATTGCGCCCTCAGCCACTTCAAAGCCAGGCTCTTCCACAAACATGGACGAGCTCGACTACGACACCGTGTCGTACTCGGCTCTCCCTGTGCGCGGCGAGCTGCTCGGCGTGCTGGATCTCACCGTGAAACCGAATAGCACGACGGTGGAGTTTGCCTGCCCTAGCGGGGCAGAAAATCTTGTGGTAGAGTTGAAGTGCCAGCGCGTGGCGTGTCATGTCAGCTTCATGCATCTGGACACCATGCTGCCGCGATTTGGGTTTGAGTTGGTGAGGAAGAGGGCGTGAGGTGGATGACGGACTGACTAACGGGCTGGGGGCAGAATATGCACAGACATTTGACAATGGAATTGGCCATGGCTGGTGGTGGGCAGCACGTTTTGTTCCTGAATCCTTGGAGGGGTGAACCTAACACAAACACGAAAGGCCAGGTCTCACCCTACATACTTAGTACAAGAGTCCACTGCCCCCAACGATAGCTTCTAGAAACAAGAATCCACCATATTTATTTCATTACTTTACCCTCCTTGGCAGATCACAGCACACTAATCCCTGCTGTAATTCTCGATCACCCATCTGGAACTCACTCAACTTACACGCTCAACAACATGTCCACTCAACTTGACGCTGCTTCCATTGCTCGTGTTTCCTTGCACGACCCCAAGCACTTCGATGTCCAACTCATCCAAACCGCTCACCGCCTGGCTCTCCTACAACATTGGGATATTCTAGCAAGCTCCAAAATCTTGGAACTAGGATGCGGTCAGGGAGATTGCACAACCGCTCTCGCCACTGTTGTGGGTGAGCAAGGCACCGTGGTGGCTGTTGACCCGGCGTCGCTGGACTATGGTGAGTTCTTGCTGCCTTGTGTAACTTTTCTTAGTAGCCTCGGCAGGTAGGCAATCTAATCACTCGCGTAGGTGCCCCGTACACTCTCAAGCAAGCACAGGATCACATCTCACAAGGTCCACTTGGCAATCGTATCAAATGGGTTCAACAAAGCCCTCAGGACTATCTCACTTCCCTCACTTCATCCAGCGACGCCAAAGTCTTTGACGCAACAGTCCTTGCTCATTGCCTATGGTACTTTTCCTCCCCCTCTCTCATTCTAGAAACCTTCCGTGCCATCAGACAGCACAGCAAACGTCTTCTCCTTTCCGAATGGTCCCTGGAAGCAACGAATGCTGCTGCCCGGCCTCACGTTCTAGCCGCCCTCACCCAAGCAGCGCTAGAGTGCCGCAAAGGCGAAGAGAGTATCTCCAACGTCCGCACTGTTCTGGGCCCAAAGCGCCTCACAGAACTCGCTGTCGCGGCCGGCTGGAAACTGAAGAAGGAGAGCCGCGTGCAGTGCGGCGAAGGTCTTCAGGACGGACAGTGGGAGGTTTCTGCCTGTCTTGGATCCGGTTTTGCGCGTGAGGTAGAGGAGCGTGTCAAGGATGAGCGGGAGCGCGCCGTGGTCTTTGCGTTACGTGATGCTTGCGAGGCGAGTTTGGACGGTGTGCCCAGGGGTAAGAAGGGAGTTGCTGCCATGGATGTTTGGGTCGCGAGCTTCGTCTGAGCTTTTTCTCCCTCGCTTTTCGTCTGATTATGTGAACCTTAGAATAGTACCCGAAAAGAATAGAGGAGTCCGTGTCACATGTAGTTTAGGGTTGCTCGAGTCAATCACCCGAAAGGCTGCGGCAAATAAAGGGAAGCTAAATCTACAATACGTCTAGCATTTCCTAAAACACGTGCTTGGTGAGCTCCTATGTACAAAGCGAGACCGAGCTACGGCCAGAAAATAGATTACACCAAGTCTAACGTCTGCTTCTTAGCGATCTAGGCCCGAGGAGTTCTCATTGCTATCTGCAGACTATACTGGATTCATACATTGCACATGCGTAGTGTAGTAAGGTATGTCGCAATAGTCATTATATCTGACGGAAGTTAGCGTGGGGGTCGTTCATTTTACTTTGGTCCCTCTGCACTTTGCATAATGCAATGCTGAGCAGTGATCATGATGCATGCCGTGGCGGTTTCCAGTCGAATCACCGCTTGTAGTTAGTTGAGCTGAGCGTACCACGCTTCATCAATGGCCCGTGGAGACGCGCGCCATGCTTCAAGTGGCTTTTGAGTTCCGTACTGGGC